TAAAACGGCCCCATTTCAACTATTTAACACCACTGCTTATTTATGAGGTTGCATGTCTGTTTACTCTCAACAGGAAGTGGGTTTTACAGATGACAAAGTGCACATTCATGCCTTAGCCTGTTAAAGGGATAGTTGACTCAAAAATAAAAAATGATTAACGAATAAAAAATGTTTAATCACCTTCATATTGTTCCAAACTCCTACGTGGCAATTTTTTTAAAATCTTCTCGTGTGAATGAGTCATTGAGTTTGAACTGAACTTGAGAACTGGATCAGTCAGATTTTTGCATTAGCTTGCAAAAAATAGCTTGCATTTCTCACAAAACTTTTGCATTCTTTCGCAAATTTTTTTACATTGCACCGAGAAACTTAGCGTTTTCTTGCGAAAGATTTACTTTCTCTAGTAAAAGTATTGCGTTTCCCTGAAAAACTTCTTTGTCCTCTTACAAAAGTATTGCATTCCCCTTTGAATTTCCTTGAGAAGTTCTGCGTTTAATCACCTTCATATTGTTCCAAACTCCTACGTGGCAATTTTTTTTAAATCTTCTCGTGTGAATGAGTCATTGAGTTTGAACTGAACTTGAGAACTGGATCAGTCAGATTTTTGCATTAGCTTGCAAAAAATAGCTTGCATTTCTCACAAAACTTCTGCATTCTTTCGCAAATTTTTTTACATTGCACCGAGAAACTTAGCGTTTTCTTGCGAAAGATTTACTTTCTCTAGTAAAAGTATTGCGTTTCCCTGAAAAACTTCTTTGTCCTCTTACAAAAGTATTGCATTCCCCTTTGAATTTCCTTGAGAAGTTCTGCGTTCATTCGCAAAATCTGTTGAGTTCTCTCGCAAAAATATTGCATTCCCAGAGAAACTTCACATTTTTTCACAAAAATATTGCATTTGCCAGAAGAAACCTTGCTTTCGCTCACAAAAGCTTTGAAATCGTTTTTCCGTAGACCACACAAATATTATTTCAATCAGCAGTTAAGCTAGGGAAGAAAACACAAAGCTTTGAAATTATTCATGAGGCATGAAAAATTTATATATATATATATATATATATAAATAATACAATTGCCTTCCATCTCATTTCTTCCCATCACCATCATTTCTAGCAATGTCCGATTCATGAAAGAATTGTTCTTTTAAGTCTGATCTACTCAAACAGTCTACAGCAGGGGTGTCAAACTCAGTTCCTGGAGGGCCACAGCCCTGCACAGTTTAGATGCAACCCTAATTAAACACACCTGATCCAGCTAATCAAGTCATTAAGGCTTGTTTGAAAACTACAAGGTATGTGTGCTGGAGCAGGGTTGGAACTAAACTATGCAGGGCTGCGGCCCTCCAGGAACTGAGTTTGACACCTCTGGTCTACAGGGAATTGTTCATTAATTGGACTGAATCAGTCTGAGTGAACAATTCTGACTTGGATCCACTGATTCAAAGTACTGTAAGAGCTAAATAGCAGCTTTTTTTAAAGAACGTGAAATAATTGAAATGTAAATTGTCCTCTCATCTAATTTTTCCCCACATCACTATGTACCCCAAGGGACTTCATACAAATAATTTTTTGAGCCATTTCTTATAGATTCTGGTTGGCTGTCAATGTTTGTATCATTCATCAGCTGGAAAAAATTGTTCTGGAAGTGATTCCAACGATATCGTTTCTCTGTGCCTTTATAGTTGTAGTGTGGACTCTGCTATTCTTTTAAAGGGGTGGTTCAGTGTTTTTTTTCTAGGCTTGATTAAGTTTATGGGGTGCAGTCTAACATGTGTTAATGCTTAGTTTTTTAAAAAACGCATTAATTTACACCTCTAGTTTTCTCTTCCTCTTCTCTGAAGCAGCGCAGGCCTCACCTCCTTTGCTGCCTTTTCATGAGGGCGGGGTTTATCTGGGTTTGTGATATCACGAACCCGGGAAGTAACTCGTTGTAGTCCCTACCAGCCGTTTTTGTGGGCATTACCACACACACACACACACACACACTTCCTGTCAGATGTGATCTGTATAAATCATATCAAAGACAAAAATGATTAAAGAAAAATTTAAAAATTAAATGTAAATTTTGATTTGTTCATTCCACAAAACTATTTCTGAAAAATACCATAGAAAGCCACATATGGGTTTAAAACAACATGAGGGTGAATAAATAATGATAATTTTCTTTATGGGTGAAGTATTTATTTTAAACAAGTATTTTTCTTTTTACAGAGTCTCAGCTGGAAGTGGCTTTTTGGGGCTACAGCCGTTGCGATTGGTGGTGTAGCTTTATCAGTCGTCATCGCAGCTAGAAATTAACCAGAATTCACTGTGACGGGATGGATGACATGGTGCTGAAGACCTTGAGCACACCAGGCCCCCAAACACCTTACTGACCGTCATAAAAAAAAATTGTAATTGAAAGTAGAATGGTTGTAGTTCTGTTGCCGTCCATCGCACAGTAGAGGTTTTAAATGGCGTTCACTTTTTACTTTCAATGCATGAAAGATGAGCTGGGGAGAAATAGATGTGAGAAATATTATATAATTCCTATTTATGTACAGAAAAGTTCCTAGTTAAAATTAAGAAATGTATCGCTGTACAGAATGATGCTCTTCAGGTTGCTGGACACAGTCGTGCTGCAGAACTCTTCAATTACGCGTGTGAAGTTCCATGATCTTCTTTTGGTGAACTGAAACTTGCTTGTGAACAGTCTTGAACATTCAAGAATATGATTGTATGCTTTTTCTTTTGCAGTATCTACAGGCATCTGATGCTAAAGAAAGACAACACTATTTCAAAAGTCCTTAAACTGATGTGGTACGTTACTGGTTTTCGCGCGTTTTTCTCCTTTATAGGCTCCAACAATATCACTGGAATCAGCAGCTGTCCCTCAATGATGTTCCCAGAGTTTCTCATTTTCATGGCCAAACACTGCAAGGAAGGTCATACAGACCTTTTCAGTTCCTACAAGAATTATTTTCATTTATTTAGTATTACTTATTTAGGATGTGAGGTTTTTTTAAATCCTTAAGTTGATCGTCTCAGTTCCCCATTCCGATTTTCTTTTTGGTAACATCTGACATTCCCTTTAAAGTTATTTTGTATATCCTATAATAAACTTTTGCACTTTCTGTTCATGTGGTTGAAAATAAAGTGATTTCTTGAAAATGTTTAGATGTCAGAGCTACTGTATGAATTCTAGATGAGCATTTCCTGAAGGAACTATATGTGGTTGCAAGGTAATAAAAGTGAATAGTGTTAATAGAGCAACAATACAATGCGTTAATGCACTTGCCAGCTCGTTTATGACCTACGGGTTCGATGTGAACGTTCTAAATGAACATTCTATGTAAAGTGTGCGTTGTAATGAAATAGGCTTCGAGAATGTGTTTTAAGTGTATAAACGTGACTAAACCTCGTCGGAGTCTGGTGGGGCATTCCCTATTCATGGGGGGTTTTTTCCAGACATTGACGTTTTTCTTACGCAATTCTGTGAGTGAGAAGCGTTCCATCCAAAACCTTCCCCCACCCCCAGCCAAGAGTTTTCCAGTGTACAAAAACACAACCAAACATAGTCAAATCACACATTTCAAATCATATACGTGTGCCTTCTTGTTGAAATGTACTCCAAAAAATAAATAACCTTATCAAACCGCGTTGTGATGACGCAATTCATCGGTCATTTCCAGCGATGTCCAATCCGAGAGAATCGAGTCGGATCTTTTCAGTGAAACGGTTCAGGACGATTCGTTCATCAATTGAATTGAGCGGATCTCGAGTCAACAATTCTGCCTGAAAGACCTTTTTTTATTATTATTATTGAACTTTCAAAGTTACAAAATCCAACAGCAAGTGCTTGACATATTTCTCATATTTACACATTTTGTAAATACAAATTAAACTATTTTAATAAAATACAATTATAATTCAAAAATAAAAGGGCATCACAAGCATATGTTAAATTCATTTACCAGAGACCGTTCTTTGGGCTTTATTGTTTTTTAAAGACTATAGATTCTAAATAAGCTTTAAAGGCTGTTGGAAAATGAGCAAAATTGGGTTTTAAGTTACTCCATTTAGTTTGATGAATATAAACTTTCCCTAATAACAAAAACAGATCAATAATATATAACAGCTGAATTAGCAGAAGTTATGTTACTCTTTAATCGCCTGATTAGCTTAAATGTTACCAAAAAAGTTAACGATGTGTTACTAAACGTCCATACCTGTACACTTTTAAACGAAGAGATGTAAATTAACTTAAGTTTTGTGTAAAGTTATGCTAATTTTATTTAGGATCTCTATAAGGTGGAAATAAATCATATGTGACCCTGGAGCACTAAGCCAGTCATAAGTAGCACGGGTATATTGGTAGCAATAGCCAAGAATATATTGTATGGGTCAAAATTATTGATTTTTCTTTTATGCCAAAAATCATTAGGCTATTAAGTAAAGATCATGTTCCATAAAGATATTTTTCCTACCGTAAAAATATCAAAACTTAATTTTTGTTTAGTAATATGCATTGCTAAGAACTTCATTTGGACAACTTTAAAGGTGATTTTCTAATTGTTTTTATTTTATTTATTTATTTATGATCCGATTCCAGATCTTCAAATAGTTGTATCTCTGCCAAATATTGTCCTATCCTAACAAACCATCAATGGAAAGCTTATTTATTCAGCTAATTGAGTTAATGTATAAATCTCATTTTCAAAAAGTTGACCCTTATGACTGGTTTTGTGGTCCAGGGTCACATATTTTGTCAGGACTGCAGAACCGAGACAATATAAACACTCTTATCACTAAATTCTATTTGTTATAAACAGCAATATAACTTTTTAGAGCGATGATGATGATGTAAAAGAACAGCTGAATCGCTGAACTGCTCAAAAGAACCGATTCGCGGAAAAGACTCGGACTTCTCATCATTGGTCATCTCTCTCATGATTACCCCGAAGCCCCGCCCCCTCCCGCCTGTACGTAATTCACGCCTCATGAATAATCCTATCCCTCGCTCGCTCGAGCTGCTTGTTGCGTTCACGGCAGAGGCGCGTGAGCGTGGTGGGAAATGCGAGCAAGATGGCGGCGTTGAAGGAGGAGCAGTGTTACGGACTGTCCTGTGGAAGAGTGAGCAATGGCAGCAACATCTCCGTCTATCACGTCAAGCTGACTGACAGCGCGCTGCGAGCGTTTGAAGACTACCAGAGCAACAAGGTAAGACGCGCGGCGACCGCAACGCGAGGCTGGAGAGACCGTGCTAGCAGGCTAACAGTGAGCAGCAGGCGACAGTTATTTCCCTGCCTGACAGCAAATCACCCACTCAGCTGAAGAAATTCCCCTCGAAGTGAGCAGGAACTTCGGCGTAGCGAAGCAGTCCCAGCCATCTGCTGTCGCTGCCTTCCTTATCAAGCACTTCATACACTAATGAAGCCATTAATTAAACCCTCCGCGGGTAATGCAACAGAACGACTTGTTATATTTGTGTTGGTCTGCTGGCAGGCAGTCTAGTTTGGTTGAAAGTAACTGGGTTCCCAGGTTCCTGGAAAAACCTGGAAATGTCTGGGAATTTTAGGATTGTGATTTCCAGGTCAGGGAAAGTCATGGAAGTTAAGTAAGTCTTAAAGTGTCATGGGAATTCCACTGATGAGTAGACATTTTTCTAGTTATGCTTGACTCTCAACCAGGGGCCGGGCCCCTCAGCAAACTTCCAAGGGACCACAAGATGGCTTGATAGCTCAATTAAAGCTAATGAAAAATTAGTCCAAAAGGTTGAGAACTATTGATTCAAACGCTTTGTTTGAACCTTTTGAATGTGTATTGCACCCACATATTGGAATTTAGATTAAAATTGGAGTAATATTTCAGAGAAAATTAATAAATGGAGTTAAATTTCAGTGTGTGTGTGTGTGTGTGTGTGTGTATATATATATATATATATGTATATATGTGTATGTATGTATGTATGTATATATATATATGTATGTATATGAGAAGGTTACTGAAATTCTATATATAGTACACAATATATAAAATTCAGGTATTTATTAAAATATATTAGAACTGGAATATTAAAAAAAAATTATTATAATTATACCAGTCAGAAATAAATGCAGCTTAATTTACATTATTGAAATTCATTACTCAGTTGTCAATGAAATTAAAGGGGTCATATGATGTTGCTAAAAAGAACATTATTTTGTGTATTTGGTGTAATGAAATGTTTATGCGGTTTAAAAAAAACAACATTATTTTCCACATACTGTACATTATTGTTTCTCCTCTATGCCCCACCTTTCTGAAACACGTCGATTTTTACAAAGCTCATCGGTCTGAAAAACGAGGTGTGCTGTGATTGGCCAGCTATCAAGTGAGTTGTGATTGGCCAAATTCCTCAAGCGTGTGATGGAAATGTTACGCCCCTACCATACTGTGATGCCTTGTCCCGGCGCGACGAGACAAAAACATTAAAACCCATTATAAACGAGGCATTTGTTGCATCCAGTGGGGACATAATTACTGATTATAATGACTTGTACTGTCTTTTTACACGTTGCGTTGCATGGCACCGCGTAAACATAAAACCATGTCTGCATTTGTGATCGAAGAAATGACAAACAACAAGCCCTACTCTACACTGCAATCATCAGTGGCAAATTCTTTATATGTATATAAAATATAAAAAAAACGTGCTTCCAGTCTGTGAGTCAGAACAGCCGGCATTGTAGTCTACTCTCCCAGGATCAGGAAACAGTCCTCCATAAAATGTGCTGCACACATCTGAATATTTGGGTTGAAGTGTTCTGGAACAGTGTTGTAAATACAACTTAACCACTGATTTCTAGTCGTGTCCTCTTTTGGAAGACCAAACAAAATAGTTTTGCTTTCACAATGAAACGGTGTCACACACGGTGGGCTAGAGTGAGTGGCGGCGGGTGGGCTTGAAAACGTCAGATTCAACGAAAGAGCGGCAACCACATGTGACGACTCCGCTTCGTCCACGGTGAAAGCCGATCCGGCGATCCACAGCGCGAAGTTGTAGTATTTTCCTATTATCTAACGCTTTAAGTTCAAGTTAATATTTAAAAATGCTCATTTAAGTCAAATGTAATTTTTATGAATGATGTGTGGTTGAATTCACTTGTAGCATTTAAAATTATTTTGGTTGATTTAGTTTAGTATTTAATTTGTTTAGACAAAATGATGCAGAGTTTTAATATAGTCAATTATTTGTTAAAATATGAAAATGTATATAATTATTTGCCAGAATTTTAGTGTCCGTACATCCCAAGTGAAAATCGTAATTTTGACCTTTTTACATCTTCTCATTAGGTTGCATGATTTGCGGTATCGTTAAAGTCTGCAGCACTGGAAACCTCTGCTTAATTCAGGCGAATTCTGACCGGAAGGAACCATTTTTGTGCACTTGACTTTCACTTCAGCCTGTGATGACAAGATTGCATCACTTCTGCACCTTAGTTTCCGGAGGAAAAAAAAGTAGATTCACTAGATTGAGTCTGTCGCCTAGTCATCCGTTGAATACTGTATTTGGATGAGAGCTGGGCTTTACCTCATCCATTCTCGATGCTTGGTGGAGAGTAAAACAGTGGTAGTCAGCCATTTTACTGGGCCGCCTTGTTGCTTGTATGTCAATAGGGAAATGCTTTGTAGCATCTTGGTTTATTGCACATTGTTCCTTTTTCTGTTTGTTGTAACTGAGTCCGAAGGTTTTGTCTTATCCAGCAGAGGTTTGCACCCAGCAAGCAAAGAGCTTTAAAGGAATGGTTCACATGAAAATGCTCGAAGTCCTTTGGTTTTAGTTTTTTTTTTTACAACATGAGGGTGAAGCAGAACTTGAGTTTTTGGGTGAAATGCCCCTTTGAGTTATGTAATTGTATGCATGTATGCAACCGCAAAAGATACTAAGAAAAATCCTTAGCATTTATTTTTTGATTTTATAAACTTGATGCACCGAGTATTTTGCCGGGTTTTTTTTGTTTTGTTTTTTTTACTGAAAGTTAAGCAAAAACGTTTTGGTACTTAAATTTGCCTAATTGGGTAATTGAACTGTGTTTGGTTTAAAGTGTTGTTTTCTCAGATGATAAATTTAAACCAGTTGTAGTAAAGTCCTTCGCCAACAAGCCACTTCAGTGTTTCAGCCAAACAAATTTTACATAATTCTACTCCAGCATTTTTTTTTTGGTCGCAGTGAAGTGAGTCCATGCTGCTAACATGTTCACCTGTTGTAGTTTTATCACTTTGTGTGCATGAGATATGTGACCCTGGACCACAAAACCAGTCTTAAAGGGGGTCATATGATGCGATTTTCACACGCTTGACGAATTCCGCCAATCACAACACACTGGATAGCTGGCCAGTCAGAGCACACCTCGCTTTTCAAAACGATGAGCTTTGTAAAAATGGACGCGTTTCAGAAAGGTGGGGCATAGAGGAGAAACAATGTACAGTATGTGGGAATTTTGTTTTTTGAACCTTAAACCGCATAAACACATTTCATTACACCAAATACACAAAATAATGTTCTTTTTAGCAGCATCATATGACCCCTTTAAGTCGCTTGGGTATATTTGTAGCAATTTTTTTTAATGCCAAAAATCATTAGAATATTAAAGCAGCACTATGTAACTTTTTCTGTTAAATTTGCAAAATGTATATAATGAGCGAGTACATCATGAAGTCATCTTCCAAACCGCGTTTTTGTCTTATTCCGAATCACTACGGTACACTTATAAATACTTAGATTTGGACTATTGTAGCCTGGTCGAGTCGTCCCCGCCACGGAGTAACACATACCTGCGTGAATCGCCATAGACACAAACTTAGAGAAGTAGCTCCGGTTGGAATGTTCTTCCGCGGGATGTGTGCAGCTCTGTTTATTAACTGCTAGAGCGCCAGAAGTTACATAGTGCTGCTATTAAGTAAACCATGTTCCATGAAGATATTTTGTACATTTCCAACCGTAAATATATAAAAACTTAATTTGATTAGTAATATGCATTGCTAAGAACTTTATTTGGACCACTTTAAAGGCGATTTTCCTCAATATTGATTTAAAAAAAAAAAATTTTTTTTTTGCACCCTCAGATTCCAGATTTTCAAATGGTTGTATCTCGGCCAAATATTGTCCTATCCTAACAAACCATACATCAATGGAAAGCTTATTTATTCAGCTTGATGATATAAAATTGACCTTATGACTGGTTTTGTGGTCCAGGGTCACATATGGATGCTGAAACAGTCAAAATGTGTCCCTAGAAAAGTGCTGTTTCGGTCAATGATTTCAGCCCTCCAAAATTGTTTTCGCAAACTAAAAATTTAAACCATAAGTTTGGTTTATTTTTTTTTTGCAGTTTCATCCGAATATGTTTGGTGGCTAAAATTCTGGTGCATTGCTTTTAACCTGTTCTGAGAAGAAAAGTCTGATTTGAGGGATATAAACTTGCAAATGCAAGGATGAAAAGTCAAATTACTTTGTTGTTGTTGTGGTTTTCTTCCATATTAGAAACAAAAACAGAATTGCGAGATGTAAGTTTAAAATTCAAGGGGAAAAAAAAAGTATTGCGAGGTATAAACTTATATTACTCACAATTCTAACTTTTTTCCTACTCCGTTTATATTTTGCCATTCTGACTAGGCTTATATATTGCCATTTTTCAATTCTCTGTTCATATCCCGCAATTATCAATACATATCTTGCAATTCTGCCTTTTTTCTCATAATTGTGAGGTTATATATGACAATTGAGTTTATATCTAGCAATTGTGAGTTTATATCTCACAATTCTGCCTTTTTTCTCAGAACTGTGAGGTTATATTGGACAATTCTAAGTTTATATCTTGCAATTCTGGGAAAAAGTCTGAACTGTGAAATGAAAAGTCATAAATTGCTTTTCTATGTTTTATTCTGCAGTGGAAACGAGCTTCCATAGATTAGCCGCTTTGCTATCAAACTGACATGTTGATGGCAACGAGAGAATCCAGTTGGACTCGGTCTGCTCTCAAAGGAAGTCAGAGCCTTGGCACAGAGTTTTAAGGTGTCAATAGGTGAAGTAATTCAGAGGTTGTTCTTGGATCACAGGTTGGCCGTGCGAGTTACTACATTATGTTCCTCTGAGCCCACGGCGGTCCTCTGGAGAATAGCATGTAGTGTACAGATGGCTTCGGTCAGCAGGCTGCAGAAACGGTCATTAAAGGGCC